AGTTTAATTTGAGGTTTATTAAAGTAGTTGCACATTACAAGCTTTCCGATCATGCAAGTGAGTGTTGTTCTGTCTGTAGCAATCATGGACATTATGTTCAAGACCCAAATGTACGCTAAAGGTTCTTCAATGATTGTATTGTTATGTTACATTTAAGTTACGTTTTTGTTGCAAATTGAGCTGCTGTGATGCAAATAAATGTCAGACTTGATCTGAAAATTAAGTATTATCATATATCGTCGTATCTTTTGTATCGTATTGTATAGCTCTGCACTTAGCTCGTGGTCATGGTCCATCGTACCATAGCGTATTGTACCGTATTGTACCGTATTGTACCGTATTGTATCATATTGTACTGTATCCAATAGAAACTTTTTGCTTTAACTCAACCCTTCCCCTCCCATTTCTGTCCCCTATGCCCCCATTTATACACCCTTATGCATCGCCCCCATTAAGTGACAAAATAAAATAACATGCCAGCAATAAACATAAATGGCTCTTTAATAAATAGCCAAAGGTTTACTACCCATCTTAACAATGGGTGCAACCAATCATTTCCATTTCTTGCTGTGACAAATGGACACTTTGAACGCCAACAAGGCTTTATTTTAGGCAATTATTACTTTTAAAGTGATGGTTCAAGGAGCTTAAAAGTAACTCTTACAAATGGCTTGATCTAAAGGTTTATTCAAGTCCTTAAGTGATCATTTACAACTTATAAAAGGGTTGCCAAATTATAGTATTCAAAACATTGAGGGAATAAAGTCAGCCATCAGTGTTAAAATGTCAATAGCACTCCTCAGAGCTACATATCTCTCACACCCTGTAAAAAGGAAGAGCAACACGGAGCAGAGCCAGTATTTCACGTAGAGGGCAAAGCATGAGGAAGACAAATGCTGAACTGTCAGCTTTAAATCAGTCATTTCTATGGCCCACTGAATAATCGATCCTTCAGTGGAATATGGATGGACGACTCCCATGAGGGACCTCAGTGGGAATTGACTCTGCCGTGCCTCAGCGCTGATAATGGCCCGAGCAAATGGCGGCCACCTTTAATTTTTGCTTGTAAATCACAACTCGGGAGTAATGGGCTGCACTTAGAGGGGTCAGAGTTCACGTCCAAATCACTCGGGACAGCAAAGACTGTAAAGCCAGGCTCTGCAGCTGAATATTTTCTTTTGCAAGTAGGGGTGGTGTAGGCGGGGTGATAAGGGGGTTTGCAATTGGCGTTCATTGCTCAAATCTAACTCCGACCTTGGCCAGATGTCCACCAAGATGGAGTGTGTGTATATGTGTGTGTCATCAGCTTGGTTTTCTGAGAGTGCTCGGCTCTAATAGGGACTGGCAGTCATTTTGTTGGGCTTTATTGCCACATGCCTCTTCCAATCCTGCCGCTGATTAGAGCTGCCATTACAGGCGCACACACACACACACACACACATACACTATACAAGGCAGACTCACACACTTTGGCACAGTCTCAAAGCTCGGGCCTTTGCATGCCATTAGCATCCCATTGCGTCGTCTTGTGCAGCGATCAAACGGATCACAGCATACGAGGAAGTGATGGGAACATCGTCACTCCACTTTTATTCTGCTCATCAGGGTGCTGTCAGCTTAGACAAATGTCAAATTTGGTGCAAAGCAATTATAGGCCCGGGCTGTCACAATCGGGCCTGATAGGGAAGGCTATGGTGGCAACACGCAGGCAAACACATCAACACACATTCAGGCATGGGTACACTCACACACCACATCCACCCACACACACACACACACACACACACACACACACACACACAGCCATGCATTTACAATAAGCATGCAGGCGATTAGCTCAGAAAGTGCAGGTTGAAACTGTTAGTCAGTGCTGATTCATAAGCGGCTAGCTGGCTTCCACACAGCCACTCACTGCGCTGCCTGTCAAACACACAGGCAGCAAGCAGCTGGAGGTGTGTGTGTGTGTGTGTGTGTGTGTTTGTGTGCAGGTGCTTTTCAAATCCTGCTTTTTAACAAGACCCCTCTACTCCCTCTCCATTCGTCCCCTCTTCCTCCTTTTTTGAGCCTCTTGTGGGTCTGTGTATGCGTTTTGAAAGTATTGGTGTGTGTGTACAAGTGCGTGCATATTTGTGTGTGTGTGTGTGTGTGTTTGTGTGGAGCCTTGCAGGCTTTTGGCTGCTGGTTCTCCTGAATGAAGCCAATGGAAAGCTGAGGTCTGGATGACTTACTTATTTAGGAAAAATCTACCAGAGATGGCCTGAAAGCTTTGCAGTCACATAGTTGTGTGTGTGTGTGTGTGTGTGTGTGTGTGTGTGTGTGTGTGTGTGTGTGTGTGTGTGTGTGTGTGTGTGTGTGTGTGTGTGTGTGTGTGTGTGTGTGTGTGTGTGTGTGTGTGTGTGTGTGTGTGTGTGTGTGTGTGTGTGTGTGTGTGTGTGTGTGTGTGTGTAGCCCAGCCAGTGGCCTCAGTAGCAGGCAGCAGCATATTTCATTTGACAGATTCTTCTCCTTTCAGCCTTTTAAGTTATTCTGCTGCCGTTAAAGCTTCAGCAGACACGCCGCCGGTTCAGTCCCAGGTGGAGACACTCACCGAACGGTTAATCTCTTTACCAGAAGCCGTTTACACACACACATCCACACACACTCGCGCTCATATGGTGAGCTACTCATTGCCGTAAGGTTCATCATTAGGTCTAAATTCACTTTCCAGCTCATTTAATTAGACAAACTCGATTTGGAAAGACCTGCTTTCCAAATAGATTGTTTTGCTTTTTTACGTAACCTGCTTTTTTATTTTCTTTCAACCATCAAAAGAAGATTCACCCTGTCTTTGGGTAAACTCTTCATTTAGAAATGGCAGGTTTCATTTAGTCAGTGCTCAGTGAAATCCATTAAGGATTAAATGTTCTCATGTAGGTTAAGAAAATTCGTATTTTTCTTAGGATAAAAAACATCTGAAAACCAATTGGGTTGTCTAAAAGATAAAAACAGCCTGTGTGTAGATACAGGATACTTTTTTCCACACACCACGCATCGAGCCGTTCTAGTTCTGCAAAATGTCCAAATTACAGACGTTTTTCAAAGATGTCTTCTTTGCTTCTTTTTTGTGAGAGTTTGTGGGGTTTCTCGTCCTCAATCGATAAGAGTCTGATGAACGTCACCGTTCTTCCAGTCGATACAGTGCAGAGTATTGTGCACAGAGTTTCCACTGTCTAGTTTATTGACAGCAGTGAATGAACTATGATGGTGTCAAGTATTGTGCCCTCTGTGTGTAACACTTGCTAGCCAATACATTACTGGCAGTACCTGCTTGGCCCTCTGCGCTCTCTTCATGATTAGTGATCCATTGATGTTGACATGAATCTTAACCTCCACACACACACACACACACACACACACACACACACACACACACACACACACACACACACACACACACACTGGCTCAGACTTGGCAGTTATTTATTTGGTCTGCAGTGTGATCCAAAGCATGTAGGCGTTAAGGGTTCAGGTGTGTGTGCAGTGGCTTTGTTTGTCACAGTTTCATGTGCGGATTAAGACCCCAAACAGATAAATAAAAATAGGAAATAATTTCAATCTCTTCACATTTGTCACATTGAGTTCAACTTTGGGGGAACTATGATTGAATTCCTGCCATTGACTAACAACAAGCCGATTGACAAGGCTGACCTTTGAGGAAACAGAGGGCGGACAGTCCAAAATGGAGGAAACCATTGTAGCTTGTTAGCCGTTGTTGCATCACCCACTGTTAGATAACCCTCCTTTGTATAATCTGCTTCAGCAATGAGCGATGATTATCAGACAGTTATGAAACAGGAGTCAGCGGTACAATATGTTAGCTAGCAGTCTGCTTGACCTCAGGAAAGTTTAATTAAATAATAATAATGTTACCTAACCCGCTAACAGACCATATGTACCCTGTGTTTAGAGTGCACAGAGATAAGTTAGCTCAAATGGAAGGAAACATAAATGCTTTTAGTATACAGAACATAATGGCGATAAACTTTAATTATATGTTGTATTGTCAGAGAAGCCAGAGATTTAATATCTTCATTGCCAAAATGTGCTGTAGCTGTTGAGCATTTGACAAATAAAGCCTTTGAAACCTTGGAACTTCATCGTCCTGTTGCCAACAAGAGCTTTACATGCCCTGAAACCTTTATTTAGTATTTATAAGGAGTATATTAGCAATAAATGGTTCTTTAATGTTTAGTGTCACATATTATAACTTCTCCTATCAATACTCATTTAACGTTTTTATGTCACTGTTTCACTGTATTGTCTCCAATTACAATTGCCAAGCTGTTGTTGTTTCCCATGTTTGTTGGGAGAGAAATTCACCTGACAAAACTTGTCATCGGTTTTCACAGATGAAAAATACCTAGAAATGTAGGAACCTAAACGTGTAAAAAAACCTTTGTTTTCAGCTGCCATGAAGTCATACATAACATAATATATAATTTTTTAGATCTAGTGTTAGAAAATAGACAACCAAATAGAAATTGTCACATGCCTCTCAGTGCTTCGGTCATGGAGTTTACTTTCTATATTGTAAGACATACTGGCATCTTCAAAAGCGTTTAGAAAAATAATTGGAACCTACAAGCTTTAACAAAACTAAAAAAACATTTGTTTGCCTTAAAAAACATTGTTCATGGCTAGTAAGGGATAATCTCACCAACTACAGCAATTGTCAGTGTACATCTGAGAAGCAGAGTGGTTTTGCTTGTGTGCGTGCGTGCGTGTGTGCGTGCGTGCGTGTGTGCGTGACTGTGTGTATGACTGTGTGTATGACTGTGTGTATGACTGCGTGTATGACTGTGTGTAACATGAGTGTTTGCAGATAAGCTGCCAGGTCTTCTCCATGAGAGACATTAGAATGATTAAAGCAGCCTTTTCCAATCCTCCATGGACAAACATGTGCACGCAAACATCCACCCCCGTCACTCATTACCCTTTTTTCTTCTTCTTCTCCACTGTAGCCCAATGTGACCTTCATCTAAGTTGAGTGTCTCTGTTCAACATTCACGAAGTGGCGAACTCTCTGAAAGGAAGATTAAGAAGAAAGCCCACGGATACGCAAGGGAGGAGAAGAAAAACAGGTAAGAAAGTAAAAACACAACAAAGGGTGGAGAACACAAACAGCAGCATATTTGTGTGCCTCCTCTGAAACTTTCCTCAGGCAACAGCTCGCCTGGCAGAGTGAGTGAGGGAGGAGAACAGAGGGAAATAGGCGGAGGGGTATGGAGGGCATGTCAAATCAAAAAATCTAAAGAAAGTAAATATAAGAAGGAAAAGGAAAGGGGGGGGGGTTGTCAAAACAGGATGTGGAAATTATAGACAATTTCAGGTACTCCTAGAAATAAATGAGACCGGAACGAGACAAAGAGGAAGAGGAGAGAGAAGCACGAGCCGGGAGATAAGAGAGAAATCTCACAAAAAGTTGATTTCTCTGAAGGATATTGGATTTCAGATTTCTAAGAATTTATTTCAGGATTGGCTGGAGGTATTGGGTACATGTGTGTGTGTGCGCTTGTGGGGTAATCACGCTTTTTCCTCAGTGTGTATGTGTGAGTAAAGGTGAGGCTGACATTTTTAGCTTGAAGGTTAAAATTGGAAATCAAGGAAGAAAGAAAGAAGGAGAGCTCTTCTTCCTTCGACCATGCACAAAATGTAGAGTGTACTAGCAAACTATTTAGTAAATGAAGTTTTTTCGCACTCAATCATGACTTCCAACAAGCTTTAGTCAAAATACATGAAAATATGCGTATATATATACATGTTTTTATGTAATATAATGTCCACGTTATATTTATACTTTGATTGACGCCGGCTGGAGCTAGCCCCCTGCGGCTCCGTTAGCACCACTGGGATAATTGGGTCCCCTTTTAACATTTGCTCCCGTTTAGCATTATGGGCGTCATAGCCATAGACTATAAAAGTCTTACCCAAGGCTGAATCATAAACTAAACTGTATATGTATATATATATATACATGTATAAAGGGTTACGTCCTTAGCTGGCTAATAAGCTATATAACAAGCTAAGCTAACAAGCACACAAACACCTGCTAACGGGGTTAACATGCATAATATTATCATTTTAGACTTCTTGGAAGTTCTGTTAGTACATTCAACCGCACAGCACGACATTTTAATTGTCTGGTATTTGTAACAACATTCCCTAAAAGGCACAATCACCACGAACACGGCTAAAGGGTCAAGTACAGTAACTACAACTAGCTAACGTTGTAGCCTAGCAGAGTGGACAAGTTGCTGTTAGCTGACAGTGAGGCACGTACCTGTCCATCAAAGTGACCACGCCCTAATTTATGCAACAACTTTAAGACCTAATATAAATAAAATGGTCGTGTTATAAAACAATTCAATCAACAATTAATAATCATTAAGGTGGAATCTAACTATATCCCGAATAATTTGTATTGCATCCAGGGGTAGAAACATGTTTATTTCTGCTGTAAAGTTGGGCATTTTAACATGGGGGTCTATGGAAATTCATCCTTATAGATGAACTGCAGTTTGTGGCACTTCCTTATTGGCCTCCCGGCTCTGCCCCAGCCCAGAGTTTGCCGCTTGTATATAACATGGCAAATAAAGGGACCTACGTGTTATTTTTCTTCGCATTGCACTTAAAGGCATAAACCAATCACATTCAGCCAAACAAATACATCCCAGAGTCAAAGGTTGCGTAGTGTGAACCAAGATGGCCAACTTTAATATTTCCAGATCCTGTCCTTTCGTTCATGGACTATTCCAATAATAGGAAACATGAGTGTATGTTGTACAATATTTAGCCATAGGAAGATTGGATCATAGTTGGTCCTTTTGACCGTAGGAATCTTTTAAAATCTTTTTTTGAAGTGTTTCAAATGTGGCAAATTCTCATCGCTGCCATTTTTTATGCCAATTTCAAATGTTTGCCTCCTAAATGTGTAGGTATTGAGTGTCGATTTTTTTTAATTAACTTGTCAGAACGCCTTCCCTGACAACTATATGGAAACATGGGCTGTAAATCCATACCTGACACTCCACTGAAAACATCCCTGTGCCCTTGTCATGGTACGACGCAGGATATCTCCATATATGTATGTGTGTGTGTAGTATATCATGTTTGAAGTGTATCATGAAATGCTCTCTCCTTAACAATCAGTTGTCTGTTTGATGGAGCGACTGCCAGCTCGGGTAGACTTTAGTAAATTGCCTCTGATGGAAAAAGTAATTTGTAGCTCGGCTTCCACGTTGGAAAACACAGAGATGCTCAGTCCGGAGAGGCATGCAGTTAATCACACACATATACCGCGACGACTACAAAGACCCACTTTCACGCACATAAACACAGAGGCACACAAAGACTAAACAGCCTCGAACAACTTCATTCCTAAATCCATATTTTCTGTGAGTATTTGTTCCTCTTTCACTCTCACAATGCACTTATCCCCTTTTCTCTCTAATAATTCTGGTTGCATCTCTCTATTGGCGTCCCTCACAGTGTGTGTTTATCTCCGGGAGGATATTGGTTGCCGGTCATAAATAGCTCTTCCTCTGACAGGGTGCCATCACAGACCCTGAGAGCGTGGGGGAGGTAAAGGGGGGAGGGAGAAGTCAGGGTGAAAGGAGCGAGATGAAGAGAGCGATAGAGGGAGGAAGAGGAGAATGAGAGAAAGATGGAGGTGGAGCTTGTGTACATCAGTGCTGTGTGACAGGTGTCAGCACTGGAGTGTACATGTTTTACAATAAGATTCTTCAGTGGATTCACAAACAGCAGCTAACCCTGTCAGCTGCACAGAGACGGGCTTTATTCCTTTTCTTGTCTGTTTTTATAAATATTCTGATCATATTTTAAGGACACAACTCCCTGTCTCCGTCCATTGATGTTTTACACTAACCCTTAGATGCATAAGTGGGTCTTTTTTGACCCGGTGAGGTGGTTTTCTTGAAGTATCTTTGTAATTACATCTTTTTATCATTTCATATTCCAGCTATTCCTCAAAAAACATGTTTTGGATATCATGCCATTCAAATTTTAAATTTAAATGTTATACATTTTAAGAAATTGTAGTTTTTGTATTACTATCCCAAGCTTCCATAAGTGGGTCAAAAATGACCCGCATGCATTTTCTATGGGATCCTATGGGAACCTTTGATTCTTATCACCTGTTGCTGTCAGGAATACATTTACTGTGGACACAGACTACATCACAAGTGACACCTCTCAGGAAGATTATTTTACACAGCAAGATCTGATACCTGTCAGTATAATAATAATAATAATAATAATAATAATACATTATATTTGTATAGGGCTTTTCAAGGACTCAAAATCGCTTTACAATATAAGGGAAGGTTAGGGTGGGGGGTATAGGACTAGCAAACTTGATCAACCGGCATGGATTGATGGGGGGGGGGGGTGGGCTATGAGTAGACAAGAGGAGAAGAGATGAGTTTTGAAAAGGGACTGTAATACTGTGAGGGTCTCAGAATAGCGGATATCTTTGCATCAATATGTTCAAAACGTTTTTTTTCAAAATGTAAAAAAAATGTTTAAAATTATAAATAGTGAAACATTTAATATAAAACATTTCTAGTGTGAACCAAAATATAATACTAAATATTATACAAGTAATTTTTCTTAACCAAAATGGCATAGAAACACATATTATTCTAATACGGGTCCTTTTTGACCCACTTATGGAAGAGTGTGTCCAGTCACTCGTGCATCTAAGGGTTAAACCCTCACAATGCCTCTTTCTGTAATCCTTCTCTTTCCTGGTAGGATTTCTATATTCTCCAGGAAGTGTCGAGTTTCAACCACTAACAATTTCTCCTTACATTTTGTGAGAGACAATTGTTGTAAGTAGAGCTAGTACTTTAAAATATGACTCATTTCTGTTTCCTACCAATTGTGTTTGACTGCTTTGTTCAGGTTTTTTCTGACTTTCTACATTTCAAGTTTTCACAATAAAAACCTTCCAGTGGCTCAAACTTTTAAATCAAGGTTTGAAGAAACAAATCAAATAATCTCCCCAAAAATGTGTTTAAATCCCCTTAATATGATGTTGACATGGTTCACATTGATTGTATTTTGATGTCAACAGTACTTTTTTAAATATTGCATTACTTTAGTCTCACTTTTAAATGTATTTTAAACGTTTTTTAAATATATATATTTATCTTGTTGAAGAAAAACGACATAACAGCCTGGTCACACCCCACTAGGACCACATATTTCAATATTATAAAGTATAATATAGTTAATTCTACTATCATATTATGGTAAGGGAAAGTTACAAAATATCTTTCTTTTAGAACATTGTATGAAGTGCTTGGAGCCTGTTGCAAAAAAAAGATTGAGAAGTCAGATTATTCACATTTGCATTACAAATTTAACTTACTAACATTTGCAGAAACGTTTAATATATGAATGTTTAGCGTCAATGGGAAGAGTTCTACTGTAGGTAACTTTACTCCAAATAATAAAAACCAGCAAAGAACAGAAAGTAGCTTATTCATTTTATGAGGAATGAAAACATGTTATGATCATCACATGACGCACTGATGGAACTATTACTATGATAATGCACATTATGTCGAAATGCTTTCAGAGTTTAATCACATTGGCCATAATTTGAGTGATGCATTCCCCTTGAGATGTACAGTGTATTATCTCTGATGCAGTAATCATGCGTGAGGCCTCTGTTCTCCAGTATATTGGCTCTTGAGTCTCTGCACTCCAGTTCCCCTCCGTCAGGTTTGATGAGGTGGATGAGTGTGAGCCGGCCGCATCTCACATTCCTCCATCTTCCCTCTCCACGCGGCAGCAGTTCTTGTCTTCCTATCGATCCCGGCTTATCTTCCCGTAAACCTGGACCTCTTTTCGCTCTTTCTCGCCTCGCTACCCCCTCCTCTCCTTCCTCCTCATTGCTATCGATCAGTTCCTGTGTTCAACAAAGTAGAGAGCAGGCGGTGGTTAATGTAGAGCCAGAGGAGCGCTGCTGACCGTCTGCGGATCGTCTTTCCCTCCTAATGGTACCAATCAGACTCTAATAGACCCTGGGTTAAAGCACCGAGGCCCACTACTCTCT